CCCCCCCCCCCCCCCCCCCCCCCCCTTGCCCCCACCCTGCCTGCCTACCCGCTTTTTCTGCAGTCTCATGTATGCTTGTTTTCAATCACCTGCGCACCCTCCCTGGCATGGCATTGGCGGGCTTTAGCGCATGATCGCGCCCTGTGGTCTGCCCCCGGAGGAAGAGAAGCCCTATGCCGACAACGAAAAGGCCTAAAGACGCCATCTGCCGTCACCCTCTTTTGCTCCATGCTTTCGTGGCAACCCATTCTTTGACCAACCGACGCACTTGACCACGTTTCAGACGCTGCCGTGCCGTCTGGGTTACATTGTGAGGCCAAGCTTGCCCTGCCTGGGCCATCCATGCTCGGGCGAACGCCGTCCGTGTGGACCTTGCTGGCCTACCTTTCCACCGTGTGGGATTCTTTTTCAAAACGATACTCGCGCATTAAACTGCCTTACATGCAGAAATTCAACAAATATCAAACTTGCCCGACTTTTCAAGTGACCTTTTTTTTTTCTTGGCATCCATGTGCACCAGAGACTTGACCTTTTGATCCGCTTTGTCCACCCCTTTCCTTGCTGTACCCCTGTCCCATCATGATGTTCACACTCACCCACACATGCAAACTCTGGCATCGATGCGATTCATCTCTTGTTGCAACAGTCAGGTTGGATGCGCGCAGCGCTCCCCTGCTGTCACGACCCTTGCGCCAGCGGCCTGCCGACTATCGGCCTCCCAAGGCGTGAAGGATATCGGCCAGTTCTCCATCACCCAGGGGTGGCTGCTCACTGGCAGACCCGTTGCGCGGATGGTAGGGATCGCGCCAAGTCGAATGAAAGGGGGTTGGGCCCGTCGGTCCTTCCGCCTCACGCGTTTGCGCCAGCTGCTGCAATTGGCCCTCGATGGCAGCCCGACTGGCTTGCTGTCCAAAGTGCAAAAAAGACGCAGCAACGCACATATCAAGCAGACGTCGAACCTCACGAACCAATATGGCATCAGCGCGCCGTGGGATCAAGCACGAAGACCGACCTCCAACGCTAAAGTGGTCTCCAGTTGAGCTTGAGCTTCGCGCGTCGCCTAACCACCGCACTGCGATGAGCTCGCCAAACTTCCGTCACCAACCCGTTTTGGGCACAACAATGCGACCCACCTCATGCTCGCGCTGTTGGGCCGCCAAGCGCTTGCGCATCCGCACTTGGTCAGCTCGACACTCATCCAGCGCTCGCTGCACTTCATCGTTGTGTGTCTCAGCCTGCGCTCGCTGTGCAGCTAGCTGAGACACCTGTTCTTGCAATCGCTTTACACGCCGCTGTAACGATTTTCTATGGACATATTCACGTAACGCATGTGCAAACAAGGTCAGGAATCATAACGCCAAGGCGGTGGGCTCACAGTGCAGATGTCAACACAGCCGATGCGACTGGTAAATCAAATGGATCCGGCCACGTGCACAACGAAGGACACACTTTTCAACTTGCAAAGCCTCCAGCTGATCGCCTGCCTCTTGCAGCTCATTGACCTGCATAGTGAGTTTTTTCACCTACGCAGGGGGCAAAACAGAGGTCATTGAGAACGGCGACCCTTCGTGACCTGCGGCTCAAGCAGCTGGACTCAAGGCACCAGGTCCAACCTCTTGGTCATGCGTGCTAGCGCGATTGGTCGCTGTCTCAAGGCGGCCTTGAGCGCGCGCCAAACGCTCCTCCAGCTTCTGCAATCATTTTTAAAAGGCCCAATACGTCAGAACCGCCTCGGCATCCATACAAAGGCGCAGAACCAGGCCACTGTCTGAATCAGGATTCTCCATCAGACGAAAAAGATACACCTTAACTGTTTCCGCGGATTGCAGAAGCTCGGGCTCGAGTTTGGCCAGCTTGCCCTTCTGCTGCTCAACGAGCCATTGCTATAGTCGTGTTTGTAGGCAGCGGCAGAGAAGAGGTAAATCATCAAGGCGTCGAGGACTCCAAACTGCCGCAGAGCGGTCTGAAACATACCTTGCGCTGCAGACGCTGACGCAAGTCGGAAATCTGGCTCGTTTGCTCCAATACCTGGGCATTCTTGGAAGCCACTTCTTCCTGTGCTTGATCAAGGCGTGCTCGCAAAGTCGCGCATGTGTCACACGGCGAATGAATCGTGGTCTGTGTGGCGACTGGTCTGCCAACCGGACTGGGTGATATTCTTTTTTCTCTGGCCTGATCCTGTGTTTCAGCTGTGGAAGCCGTGGTCAGGGCCTGCATTAACGGCACAAGTTCCAATTGGAACAAGCGGCCTGCCCGCGCAAGGGCCGAGGCATCAACGTCACCACCGAGACGCGCCTGACAGAGCTCGATAACCCGCGACAACGCTGCGAGTAGGCGCGCCGGTAATTCATGGCAAAGAATTAGAACGGCAGTGTGGGCTCGTGATCCAGTAGCAGTGGTTGTATCAGGCAGGCCGGCAAAGACTGGAAGGAGACGAGACAAATGCGTGGCCAAAACCTGCAAAAGGCTATCCACCTATGGCGGGGCAGAGCAACATCAGTCTTGCGGCAAAAAAGCTCTCCAGCAAGTCAAGATCGGCAAGACTTTGGTGTGCTAGCAAGTGAGCCGGGTGTGCGAGGCATATGCTCCACAACAAAGGGCCTCCCCCAAGACCAAAGTACAAACCGCGTGGAATAGCCGGGCTTCACGCAGTGCCAACTGAACGGCACAATCGGTAATGGCAGCAGGGCTTGGAGGCAGCGAGTGCAGACTTGTGAGATCAGGCCACTCCGAGCGGGATTGGCGCACAGCCGTTTGTAAAGATTGCAGCATTTGAGTGCGCCAAGTCTTTTTTTTTGTGTTTCCAAGCGAGAGTAAAAAGAGGCCAGCCACACAGGAAGATGTGAGTGAAGGGTTTACTATCAACGATACCAAGCAGGCGTAGGGAAAAGGCAAGCAAGGGTCAATCGCACGCACAACAAACTGTTGGGCAGCGCCGGACGTCTCCCAGGAACTGCTCGACCATGGTGGGCAATGTAAAACATTCTGCGCGGGGTGGGCACATACGCAGGCATGATATAGCGCGAGAGGCTGGCCAACGTGATTCGGCTTTCGTGTCTCTGCGTTGCTGGACGTACATCGAGCGCATGCAAAAGTTGACTTTCGTGCGGATCTGTCGGAGCAATCGCTGCGCGCGTGGGTGGACCACGACCGATCACGATGTAAGGTGGCGGAGGCGTTTGGTGGGGTTTGAGCGCGGCACGTGATGATCACCCCGACGTACCGGCCCAGGCGGACTGGTGCTGCTGCGCTTCGGTGAGTTGACGTAGAGCGCGGTCCACGGCCACCTCATGCATGCGCATCAACTATCAAAACACAGAGTCAGTACAAATTGTGTTGCCACGTTTTGGGCGCTGGGTACGAAACAGTGCCTTGACGCACGTCTGGCAGATCCGCATGAGACGGCGCTTTCGGTCGAGGTGAGGATGCCTGTGCGAAACAACCAGATCGGGAGCCTGAGTAGAGGAAAGCGGGTGGCAACTATTTGGCGCTCGAAAGCGGTGAGCCAGCCATCGTACCGAGCTCTGTACCTGCACTTGCACAGCGGCATCGTGCTGCTGGACCTGCGCCTGCAGAGTCGCCTTTTGCTCCTGGAAGAACCAAATGGCATCATGTTATCAGCATTTCGAGCGGGACATTGCGCTGTCAGGCGCGTCTCACCTGTTGGGGGTATGCTGGGTGGTGTAATTGCTGCTGCAAATTTTCAAGACTTGTCTGCAGCGTCTCGATGCGCGCTCGAGCTTGGCGGAGTTGTGCTTCAGCTTCTTGTCGCTGACGATTTGCCTCTTGTTGCGAGCGTACCGCCGCCAAAGTGGCAGTGTGCTGAGCCTGTATTCCCCCACGGGACCAAGTCAATGACGAAGCA